TGCTGCTAGAAACCAACAACAATACTAAGCAAATTACTGCCATACTGTAAAAATGCTAATCTGTTTGGAAGTGCTAAATCAGGGCTTGAAGGATAATGAAACCGACAGGGATGAACATCCATTTCAGTCATCCTTGAGAAGAGCTGTTAGCCCCTTAAAATGTTAACTGGTCAATCACAACTGTGCAACCATTTCAGCTACTTTTACAAAGAACAATTTATAACAAATAAAGCAAAGGACAGTAAACATTTGTCATGCTTGACTGGGAACAAGCAAGTCTGTTACAGAAATGAGATTACTAAGAAATAGCAAAGTCCAAATCTAAGATGTTGCTGCTAGTTTTAGTATGAGAAAAGTGGCTCTGTTCTTGGCACTTGCTACATTAAGGGAATGAGCAACATTCAAGTGGATTGCATCATGTGATGTCTGTTTTCTGTTATATTGGAACGGATGGAAGAGGAAATGTGGGATGAATTACTCAGCTACTCAGAATATTTTTAAGGAGAATAATAAATATTCAATAAAAAGAAGATACATTGCAAAGATTCCCCACTGATAGTATAAAAAGTTTTGCACCATTTCCTCTCTATATAGGAATTATAATACTGCTCAGATCTGTGGTCCATCTAGTCCAATATCCTGTCTCTGACAGTGGACAGCAATAAATACTTTAGAGTTGGGAGCAAAAATTCCTATAATGGATAATTAAGAAATAGCCTGTTTGTAGGGGGAATTTCTTCCTAACCCCAAGTAAGCAGAGTCTGACTTACGCCTGGAAGCATGGGGGCTTATATCTCATATAACAATGTTTCAATTTTATCTAGGTAACTTTGAGTATTCATCCATAAAAATGTCTAATCCTTTTCTAAACCCTTGGATACGAAGCTCTTGGTCCCAATTATATCTGGTGGCAGTGAGTTTGACAGGTCAATTATGTGTTTAAAAAAAGTATTTCCTTTTACTAGTTTTAAATGTGCTTACTTTCAATTTCATTGACTGTCCCCTTGTTCTTCTACTATGAGAAAAGGTAACTATGAGGGTAAGTATAAAATGATAGGGTTAGAAGGGACTGCAAGGGACATATAGACTAACCCCCTAATCTAATCATCTAATGGTATGTTACAAGAACATTATTAAAGTTGCAAAGACAAGCACACTTACATTAGGAAATACTAGAATACAGGTTGCCTGTGTAGCCTTATTTCAGCACCCTAGGAAACTGGATTATGATACTGTCTTCATTACATGCTATTTTTTCCACAGGATCCCTGCCTCATTCAGTGCATGGGATGGATGGTGCTCTCTTTAATGATCAGTTATTCAATATTTTGTTTTCTCCTCATTCTTCAAAGTGTGGCCCCATGTCTTACTTACTGTACACTCTTCATACCTTGATCTGAAGACATATTTATTAATTTCCTAATGGGTTTTTCTGTAGTTCTCTTCACTATAGTATCTGAGTACTTTATTAATATTATTAATTAATTTATTTTCACAACACCCTGTAAGGTTACGGCGTGGTATTATCCCCATTTTATAGATGGGGAACTGTGGCACAGAGAGATTAAAGTCAAAAATATCTACTAGTTTTGGGTATCCAATCTGAGATGCCCAACACTTGATTTTTTCAGAATACAGAGCACTGTATTGCACTTTATATATTCAAAGCACAGTTCCCAATTCTTCAGCTGCAGTGGTGAGTGCTCAGCACTTCTGCAAATCAGACCCCAGGGTCTCAAGTCAAGCACCCAGAAAATTAGGAAATACAATTAGTGACCACATGTGAATTGTTTGGTTTAACATTACACAGGAACTGGGGCAGAGGCAGGATTAGAATCCGATTCTCCAGCGCAGCATTCAACTGCCTTAAGCATGAGACTATTCTTTCTCTTCTTGCAATCCCCTGCCTCATTCACTACACACATTCAACTTCAGAAACAAATGAAGCAGGAATCCTACAGACAATAGCCTCCTTCACTAACAACCCTGATTCATCCCTAGAGTAGGTCCATCCTGTGCACTGAAAGAGGCAGGGATCCTGTGGAAAAAATAGTATGTGATCTTGTAATTAAAGATGGTATCATAATGCATACCCACAAGGGAGATGAACTGAGTTGCAGTAGTGATAAGATTTATACCCAGTGTAGGAGAACCATTAGACAATAACCTGATCACATAGTGGAGTAAATACAGTAACTCCTCACTTAACATGCTAGTTATGTTCTTGAAAAATGCAACTTTAAGCTAAATGATTTAAGCTAATCCAATTTCCCCATAAGAATTAATATAAATAGGGGGGGTTTAAGTTCCAGGGAAATTTTTTCTGCCAGACAAAAGACATTATATACCTAAACAGTATAAGTTTTAAATAATTTTAAACAAACAATTTAACACTGTTCTCACCAATGATGATTGTGAAGCTTGGTTGAGGCAGGGGCGTAGCGGGGTCGGGGCACGGGGGCTTGCCCTGCTCCGCTCGCCGGGCATTCCAGCTGGGGAGCAGGGTCAGGGCGTGGGGCTTGCCCCATTCCACCTGCCTGGGGCTCCTGCCGGGGAGTGGGGTAGGGATGCAGGGGCTTGCTCCATTCTGCCCGCCTAGGGCTCCTGCTGGGGACCAGGGTCGAGGCGCAGGGGCTTGCCCCGTTCCGCCCTCCCGGGGTTACTGCCGGGGAGCGGACAGGGGCTTGTCCTGTTCTGCCCGCCCAGGGCTCTTGCTGGGGAGCAGTGTGGAGGCGTGGGGGCTTGCCTGCTCCCCAGCTGGAATGCCAGACAGGCGGAGCAGGACAAGCCCCCGCGCCCCAACCCTGCTCCTGGGCAGGAGCACTGTGTGGGCGAAGCGGGGGGAGCCAAACAACGTTATAAGGGAACATTGCAGGACTTTACGTTCTCTAATAGGTCAGCAACCGAATAGCAAAAACACGTTAACCAGGAAGATGTTAAGTGAGGAATTACTGTATTTCATTTAATAAAAAGACAGTGATACAGATGCATGCTAGCCATTATATCATCAAATACAGAAACTTTCTGAGCACTGTGAAAATACAGATATAATAATAGTAAGCAAGTTGGGTAATTGAAATAAGAAGACTATTGCATGACACATCTCACTTGCTTGGAAGAATGTTTTGTATTTCAGTACCCACAGGTCTCCTGGATATTCCTTGGTTATATTAAGAAATTCATAGATTCCAAAACAGAAGGGATCATTGTGAACATCTAGTCTGACCTCCTGTTTAACACAGGCCATAGAACTTCCCCCAAAGTAATTCCTAGAGCAGATCCTTTAAAAAAACATCCAATCTTTATTTAAAAATAGTCAGTGATGGAGTATCCACCATGACTCATGAAAAATTGTTCCAATGCTTCATTACTCTCACTGTCAAAAATGTATACCTTATTTCCTGTCTGAATTTGTCTAGCTGCAACTTCCAGCAGTGGGATCATTTTATACCTTTCTCTGTTAGATTGAAGAGTTGATTAGTACATATTTGTTTCCCCATGCAAGAAACTACCTATTAGAGGATTACAGTCATAGGTCAGCAGTACTTATATGAAAGACTTTGCACGTGTTATTTGTAACAGCAATGCTATTACATGTACTGTATATAAAGTATAAACATGGGAATACTGTGTTTCCTTTCTGTTCAAAGCATATACATTTTTGTTTTAATCTAACATGACTAAACTCACTGCATGCATTTCTTAAATTCCTTGAAATGCCTATTAGTTATAATCTAAATAATCATAACATACACAAAGTCCCTGCTCGTGCCATGAGCTTGCTGTTACATAGAAAATTCTCAATGTTTAATGCCTATTACTTTACATAGTTTATATTTTATTCACTTTATCAAACCTACATTAATTCAAGGAATGATAGTACATTTGGATGTTAGTAGAGCCCACTCCCAAAAATCCAGGATTTAAATGGTGATCAGTGTGAATATAATCAAATGAAAATACTGTGATTTCTCAACTATGACTCTATGATCAGCATGGGTAAAAGGTGACTTTTTAACCCTTCACTGTTTGTGAAAGATGCCAGCCAGACAGCCCAAAGAGAATGAAGAATATGAATGGGCAACAGCAGTGAAAGCTTCTCCAACCCTGTCCTCTCAATTTGCCTCAACCCTGATACCATCTTGAAGGCCTGCTCTACACTGCGGGGAGGGGGGAGGGTCGATCTAAGATACGCAACTTCAGCTATGAGAATAGCGTAGCTGAAGTCGACGTAACTTAGATCGACTTAGAATCACTTACTTCGCGTCCTCACGGTGCAGGATTGACGGCCGCCGCTCTCCCGTCGACTTTGCTTCTGCCTCTCGCCGAGCTGGAGTTCAGCAGTCGACGGGAGAGCGATCGGGGATCGATTTATCGCGTCTACACTACACGCGATAAATCGATCCCTGATAGATCGATCGCTACCCACCGATCTGGCGGGTAGTGTAGATGTACCCGAAGAGTGGGAAGGTTAATTCAGTCTTCAAACCACTCAGTTCTTAGCCTCTCTTTTAAGACTTCCAGTAAGGATGAAAATTAGACTGGTGTCTTTGTAATATGGCACCTGAAACCACAAACTCATGTCACATAAGAAATTGATAATGTAACCTATTTTGGTCACTAGCGATTTAGGTTAGATTTGAAGTTAGAAGAGATATTAGAAGTTAAAAGAGGCTTACAATTAAAAAAAAAAGATTCAGGATCTCCTTATGCTCTCTGAAACCCAATGGATAGTTTATTGGACCTTGGACATTCCGTGAAAGCCAAAATGATTTACAAGAAGAAAATCCATCTTTCTTCCACATTACAAAGGTCATGATAGCCCAGTAATTTTGTCATTCAAATTAGGATAAGATTGCTTATAAATCTTACAAGTGTAAGCAACCACTTTGACATTAATTGTTGCCTTTAAGAGCATTTAACCATGCCAACCTGCATTAAAACTCTGATTTAAAAGTACTTTCCAGTGATGCCACAACCTTCAATGGTCGAACACTTACCAACTGTGGCAGAGGCTGTTGACAGCAGAGATTTGCCCCACGATCCCCAAGCTCCCCATCCACTTCCTTTAGGAGAGGAGTCCAAATCCTACAGAAGAAAATATTAAGTCCACTGTCAGAAATGAATGTTACCCAAAGACAGGAGGAAAAACAACCAACACTAGAAAACAGAATCCAGCATGTAATAAATGATGACAGCAGGCAGAAAATATAATATAATTATGTTTGTGATTCAACACTAATGCCATCAGGGAATCTGTGGAAAGATAAACCCAAGAGAAGATACTGGCTTATATGCAATGGTGATGTTGCAGTGTTGCATTATTTTGCATTATTTAGTTGGCCAGGAAAACAGATTCATTAGAAAAGGTACATGTCTTATGTACTTGAACCTCTTCACCCATTTTCAAAGCAGCAGAGTAAATAATCTCTTTCCTCCAGTCCTTGGCCTACAATTCCTTGTTTGTAATTGATCAGACATCCTTTTAGTTTGCAATATAACATGAAGAAGCTGCAGAGTGTGTCCTGATTGGACATGGATTCTATTCTGCTGACATGAAAAAATAAAGTAAACAACTTTTGCTTTTACAGGTGTAGCAAACATTATATCCACAAGCAATAGCAATATTGCTACTAAAGTAAGCAGTTCTGTGCACTCAGCTGAAGTAGAAAAGAACCCTCAACAGCCAGGGATACTTTAATTTCAGATGTCTCACTGTTTTATTATGGCTAATTAACTAGAATTTTCAAAGTAGTGGGTAATAATAATATAAATAAATCAATAGTAATAATAACTGAAACATTTCAAGATTTTGTAAATGAGCTCTATGGAACATACAATAGAAATGCCATCTGATAATGGTTAAACAGATGGTGAATTGTGGCTATGACTACCAATTAGCTAAGAATAGCAAATACAGCTAGTTTAGGAAAACATCCTCTTGCTTTTGAGCTTGTGTTTGTCCATCTGTTGTGTCTTATCTTTAAAGGGCCCTATTCAGCAAAGCTTTTAAAACGTGCTTAAGTCTCACTGAACTCAATGGGATTAAGCACATACCTAAATGCTTTGCTGCATAGGGTTAGACTGGCCTTAGACTGCCATCTCTTTGGGGAAGGGACTGTCATTATTATATGTTTGTACAGTTCTATAATGTGGTCCAAATCTGATTAAGGCCTCCAGGTGCTATCACAATGTAAATTTGAAAACAAACACATTCCTAGGACATTGTATAGGATGCAAAGTCAAGAACTCAGAAATAAGGAAGCACCAATTTATAATTGCATATGTGACCCAATTCTGCCCACTTTTTGGTCCCTCCTGTGCACTGAATGAACCGGGGTGTGGGGGAAATTAAAGACTATCATAGTGCATACGCACAAGCGGGTCAAATTAATGTTACATGGGCAAATCGGACTTTTCCTAACTTTGGAGTGCTTCACTGCAACCTAAACAGTATTATTTTAACACAGATTTTTTTGTATGATTTCCTAGGTTTTTGTAAAAAATTGCCCACGATTATTTCATAGCAAGATGCTAGTGCAATGAATATATTATTTTTACAGCATCCTGTCCTTCGCACAAAGTGGGGAAACATGCTCATGATTCTGTCGTACAGAAAGCTAATTACCATCAAGGAAAGATGTTTTGGAAGAAAGAGGCAAGATTGCTTACTGGATTGCTTTGTTCATTCGGTGTCACTTCTGATCCAGGTTCAGGATCAAGGCTCACAGACTCACTGCAGTCAGTAGGTATGTTTTCAGTCACCTCTCCACTGGAAGGCTGATTTGCAATTACTTCTGCAGTCAAAGGATTTTCATTGATAACCATGTCCCCTTCTTGTCCATTACTAGTATTATGAGAAACTTGTCTCTGTTCATCTTGGAAAGACCCATGCAAGATCCCAGCTGTTTCACTGTGTTCTGCTGCATCATTAGCAAACACATCACTGCTAAGCATTGCCATTACTTCAGGTTTTCCTTCAGCGGATATTGCATCGCTTGTGTCAGACATTTTTATTTCTGTTTAAAAAAAGCAAAGAAATTAGTATATTTATATTAGCTAATCAAAGTAATTTCAAATCCCATAAACTCTTAAATGACACAAAGGCACTGAAATAGATAGCCTTCCTTGCCATGCAATTGCAGACACACAGCATGCTAATAATGACATAGAAGACTACAGAAGTCTGTGTTGTAAATTTGCAGTGTTTCATCTATAGAAATCATCAGGGTTCATTTGTGAAGGCTAGTTATAGCCCTGGATTTTGGAGGAACTCCCATCGATGTCATTGAGAGACGCAGGCAGAGATCAAGGAGAGGACATATAGTCCATGTAATGAACACTAATTGCTTCATATAAAGAAATCTTGCAGATTTAAAACCCTATATAGCCTTGTCCCAGCCTTTTTCTTTTCTTCACATTATAGACTACTAGACTCTAAGGCCAGATGGACCATCATGATCATCTAGTTTGACCTCTTGCACATTGCCAGCCACAAAACCTCACCCACACACTCCTGTAGTAGGCCCATAGCCTTTGGCTGAGTTACTGAAATTCTGTTTGCTTGTTTAGCATTGGCTTCCGCTAGGTCCCTCCCATTATCTCACCAATGCAAGTACAAGAAGAGCGCCCTCACTGTAACCCTTACCACCTGGAACAATGTTTCTAGTATCCGTCCTACATGCCATCCATATTCTAATCTCATGCGAAAACTGAATTTTTCTTTTCTACAGTCATTTTTTAAACTTTGAACCAGAACTATATTATTTAACTCTGTAAAGCATTTTCAAGTTCTATTTGTATGAAATGCTATAAAATGTATAAAATTGTGCTGCAAAAGACAAAAAGATGGTATACAGCCATCTTCACGTGATATTCCTCCTGGACTGCACCTTCTCTGTTGCACCTTCTGAGAGGCTCAATGAGATGGGATCGGAATCAGGCATAGCGAGCGTAAGCATCTGATGCACATGGAAAGCTTGAGGGAAAAGCATTTAAAGAAAAACTGAAAAACTATTAAGAATTTAGAGCAGGATATATATGCAGATGGGAAATATAGATGCATCTATTCAAACTCAGCTCTTTACTAATTACCTAGAGCCACAGGTGACATGACTTGACAATTGAGAAGTCTGTTTTACCTGCAAAGTTGCTGAGAACACAACCATATAAAGCACAACAGGGGAGAGAGCACTGGAATATAATTAATAGATTTTAAGGACAGACAGGAATACTCTGATCATCCAGTCTGACTGTATGTATAACTCAGTCCAGAGAACTTCACCCAGTAATTTTGGTAGTGAAGAGAACTGTTCTTCCTTACTACATAAGTGAACACTATTGAAATTTAGCAGTTTGTAATATCATCAGCTGCTGCAGAGAAATTATCTGAATGTAGGTCTTGAAAGACAAATGAAGGAGAACTGCTTTTCAGATATATTGGGCTTGAGTCTTCTCTCATACCAGTTTTACACAAATGTAGGAACTTTAACTCCCATGGAGTTACTTCAGATTTACAATGACAATGAGTTTTCAAATATGAATAGATACCTGTCAAGTGTACAGTTTTAGTAGACAAAGTCCTCATTTTAGGCCCAAATGTACTTCCGTCCCACACAAATCTGGTGCTCTCTCATGTTTTTAATGTTTTTTTTCCTTTGACATTTCTAATACCAGTAATTAAAGTGGCAGAAAATTTTACATGCAATAAATAAGTGAACCCCACATTCAAGCTTTTTCTGGTATATGAAGTTGGTTATATCACTCAGGAATATAATTCATTTTAACTGTTGGTAACTCGCACTTTGGGTTTTGGCTACTTGAGTTCTATGTAGACATATTTGTAATGACAGAATATACAAAGAATCTGATTGATATGATTGAAGCAGAACTGGTTGGATTCTGATCTTGCTTACACTGATGTAAATTAGAAGTGGCTTAACTGAAGAGTTAAACTGGTAGAAAACCAGAGAGGAGAGTTAATCCCTATATATCTGAAATTAAAACTTTTTCCTTCACTTTTCAGTTAATTTTTGTTAACATTAGCTCATTTTCAGTCCTTTATAGTCTCATAGGAAACAGCAACATTTTAAGTTAAAATCATGTGATGATTGTAAGTTAATGAAATTGCATGTATGCAGAAAAATATATAGGTAGTTTGGAGTCTGATCCTGTGAGACGAGTGAGATATGAGGGCTCGAAGCAGTTTGAAAGATCACATCCTAAGAAGTACAGAGGACATCACTCAAGTGGTTCCATTCTTTTCTCTCCAAAAGGCCCCAGAGAGTGTTTTGGGGGAATTGTTCATTTGTCCTGAAGGATCTCTTGTCAGAACTGCCATAGAGATTTATTTTTATCTCCTTTCCTGTTAAGAGGTGAATGTAAGGCCATTGGGGAGAGAGATGATTTGGGCTCCAGTGCCACTGGCATGCAGAGGACATGCAGGCTCTAGGTTTCATTTTCATCAGTCCCACGTGATAGTTTCCAGACCACCTGATTAAGAATTGGAAGAGAGGGTGCTGTCAGAAGCTTAATATGAATGAAATAGTGGTCATGTTAGTGCATTGGGTTGGGGAGAGAACTTGCAGGCAGGTCAGGGCATGGTTTCAGCAGCCATTAGTTTTTCAGCAGGCATTCATTACTGAGATGGCTTCTCCACAATTTGTTCAAGATGTTTGCTATTTGGATGGTGTTTTGGGACTCTGTGTCCCTAGAATTTCAAGTGGTTTCAGTAGCTCTCTATTCTGCAACTCACATCTACAGATGGTTGGGCAGAGTCCAGGTTTGTTGGTTTTTATTGAGGGTGCAGTATGCTTGTTTGGGGCAGGGTTATCATTTTTTGTTTGTTATACATTTAAAGAGTATTTATTTTTCCCACTTCCCCTTCACTTCACTGAATTACTTTCCTCCTCCAATTGTGCTCATGCTGAAAAAGACAGTAGCACTTTACCTGCTGTGTAATGCAGCTTTTAACTTGCACTTCTTACTTAAATTAGTAACATGGGAGACAATTAACATTTCTGACTCTGGTTCTTTGTAACCAGAGAAAGTTATTAATTCCTTAATCTGGTCTCTCTGACTGATCCAGAAAAAATTACAGCTTTGTATACATTAGACCAAGGATCAGCAACCTTTGGCACGCGGCCCGTCAGGGTAAGCACCCTGGCGGGCCGGGCCGGTTTGTTTACCTGCCGCGTCCGTAGGTTCGGCCAATCGCGGCTCCCACTGGCAGGAAGCGGCGCGGGCCAGTGGGAGCTGCGATCGGCCGAACCTGCGGACGCGGCAGGTAAACAAACTGGCCCAGCCCGCCAGGGGGCTTACTGTGGTGGGCCACGTGCCAAAGGTTGCCAATCCCTGCATTAGACCTCTTTTCTTAAAATTTCACATTATTGCTTCCACTTGTGGAGCAATAGAGAGTGCTGGGGCAGAGTGACTACTAGCATTTTAATAGCCATGTCATCTACTCCTGATCTGAACAGGAACTACATAGGAGTTAGGGATGGAAATTAAAAAAAAAAAAAAAAAAACCATCCAGTGTAGAGAAGTTTCGTGAACGCTGTGCAGATTGTATAATGAACATCCATGAGGGGAAAGGAGTGAATATTCAGCAGTTACTGCACCTGAGAAAGGAGTGGCAATGGCAGAGTCCAAAGGGTGTACTGTACAGGGATCATAGTTATCTATTGGTTGAGCACCAACAGTATGCCTGGCACTGCACACACAAGACATGATTCCTGTTCCCAGGAGCTTTTAGTCTTCACCTTGAATGATCGCTTAGGGTATGTCTATACTACAGTTAAACACCCGTGGCTGGCCTGTGTCAGCTGATTCGGGCTCGCAGGACTCAGGCTAAGGGGTTGTTTAATTGAGATATACACATTCTGGGGGACATTCCCCCATTGCAAGGTCTCGGATCCTGAATGTCTACACTGCAATTAAACAGCCCCGTGAGCCAATGCCCCATGAATCCAAGTCAGCTGACACAGAACAGCCATTAGTTTTTAATTGCAGTATAGAAATACCCTTAGAATGTGCATTAATTATTTACGCTAAACAATCTGTTCCACCTTATATTCAGCTGTGACACTCTGAGAACCTTTTCCAGACTTGAGGAAGAGCTCTTTGTAGCTCAAAGCTTGTCACTTTCACCAACAGAACTTGGTCCAGTAAAAGATATTACCTCACCCACCTTGTTTCTCAAAAATGGTGTGGTTTGTATTCAAAGCTGCAGTTACAGCAATACTGGAGGTGATAATTCAAATCCTGTTCAGTGAATTTAGGAGTCTGAACTGTATTGTTTATCCAGTTTGCATCCTTGGGGCAGGGACTGAGTCTTCCTCTGTGTCTGTACAGTTCCATGAATACCATTGACAGTCAATGAACAATAAAAGTGACAGATAAACAACAAGCACTTGGTGACATTTTAATTATTTGTTTATATTGTTATTTACTTATCTTCGGAAAAATGCATTTACAACTCACACTGGTTACATTTATCACAGTGTTAGCAATGTTTGCCATTATGAGTATAGCAAATACCACAAATGCTGAAGTACGGATACATTCTCTCTAGGTTTTAATGGTGTTCACTGGCTGATGATTCTGGTGGCATTACATGATGAGAAATAGTTTGTTTCTAGTTAAAGGACAAATTCTATCAAGAGATATTTGCACGCAACTTCCATTGAATTCAGTGGAATTATGTGCATGTACATGATGGCATAATTTAGCACTAATAGCTTAATTATGGGCCTAATCCAGCAAAGATTTATATACACTTATAAATTTGAGTGATATGTACATACATAAGACTTTACAGGATTGGATCCTATATTTGGAAACTCACCCAAGTTCATCAGAAGTGAGTGCAATTGGTCAGTTAAACCCCTTCCCCAATGAGCTAGGTAGGTATACAGCATTCTACTAGACAGGGGCTAAAAACAGTTTGCAGAATGAAAGGAAACAGAAACAGCAATGAAAATCCCTGTTTCAACCCAGTATAATGTGTAATTCAGGTGGTCATTCATATGATCCTACAAAAAAGTACCCTACATTCACATTAAAAAGTAATTGAATCAGTTAACTCCTCTGTATCTAAACTAAGTACATGGAACTATTCTTCTGTAGGTTTCAAGAAGGAAGATTCAGGGCCATGTTCACACATGCTGTAAGTGGACACATCTCTGTTGAAGTTAGTGGAGCTGCATACACTTATACCAGTTTGAAGTTTACAATCCTGTGTAAAGTTAGGAAAAGCTACACGAAGCTGTAAGAAAACAAAGATAGCTCCATAGTTGAATGCATCCCAAATACTATCTCTCCTGTTTCCTTGCAGCTGCTGCTACCCTAAAAGCCACACCACACTTTAAAAAGAACACTTTCAGTAGCAAGTAGTTTAGTAGTTCATCTCTGGGATTAGCGTGCCCCCTGCTGGATTCCAGTTTTACATGCATAGTTCAGAGTTCCTCAAAAGCAAAGATGAAAACACAACTGCAGAGAGGCATTTCAAAATAAATCTCAGTGTGCATTGACGCAGGGTATTTTGTAAATGGTCAGGTATGGGCATGTTTTTAAGCAGCAGCTGTTTCCCCTTTTGTTAGGTTCCTTAATTAATTGTACACTTGACCTTGATGGGATTCTAAAGAACCCCATGGAAATATCAACTGCAGGGGAGAAGTGGTGGAATGATATTTGGGGGCGACGGGGCGGCTCCTATTTCAGTGAAAAGTGCCACGAAGCCTGGAAAGCAACCCGCTGGAAGGATTTGCTATTATTAACCCAGCTCTAGCCCATGTCCCGCTCTCAGGGCACGAAGCAGGAGCGGCAAGAACTCTGGTCCGCTGAAAGCCAGTGGGGTCGAGTTTCCCCCGGGACAGGAAAGTTCCTTTGAAAGCTCTCTAGACAGTCTCAGAAGTGAGGGAAGAAGGGAAAATCGTTTAGTTCCTTACCGCTTCGCAGCTGAGTTGTGCCTGGGCCGACGCGCCCCCGGCTCCTTCCTCGTCCCCGCCCCGCCACGTCGGCAGGCACTGGGACAGGGAGGAGGAGGAAGCCGGGCAGCTGCTGGCCGGCAGAGGGAGGGCTCTGGCTCTGCCTTCCAGTCACGCTGGAGCTACTGCCTAATGCAAAGGGCTTGCTCGAGCTCTCCCAGCCTCGCTCAAACCAGCACAGCCTCGTGGGCTGGACCTGGACTGGACGGCGCGGTTTGCAGCGGCTGAAGAACGCGCGGAAGTAGGGGCTGGTCGAGCCCAGGGCCCGCAACCTCGGGCCTCGCGCACAGTGACTCCCCTGGCCTGGGGGTGCTGCGGGGTCTCCCGGACTTTAAGCTTCTCCGAGCTGAAATCAGTCATTTGTATTGGAACAGCCCTTAAAATAAACTAGCCACGCCCCTCTGTTTGTTTGGCCCTGATACTTTTTGTGCAATTGCCTCAGTGATTCCCCCCCCCCCTTCCGTCTTTCTTCTGTGCCTCTAACGCTGACCGACAGACTGAGGGAGATTATTAAACCATGAACGACGAGATTTTCCAAGCCGCTCCTTGTAATGGGAATTGGGCACCCAAATCCTTGAGGCAGCTTTGAAACTCTCAGCCTGAATCGATCGCTGCCCGCCAATTCGGCGGGTAGTGTAGACAAGCCCTGTTGCGACTTAAATACACCAACGTTGGAGGAGCTATTGCCCTGCTATCCCAATGCATTACAACTACTGTGATCTAATTTGATCACTTTCACGATTTACCAGCTCTCTTTTTTGTAAGGTTTAGTTATATAACTTTAGGCACCTAAAAAACAAAACAGAACCACCAAGTCTCATTCCTTTCAGGAGGAGAGGACTGTCCCCTTTGGGGGTTGGGGGGAAGTCATTTCAAAGTGATTAGCCTCTGTGCCTCTGAGGAGGAAGGATATTGCAGTGAGTGTTTTTATCTAAAAGGAAGGAGTCACGACCTGAACTCTGCACATAAGGGTAGTGTAGCAGCAGGCAAGAAGACAAAATGGAGAGAAAGGTGAAGGGGGGGGAGGGGGGAGTTTAGCTAGGGTTCATTGGCAGAAGTGATCTAAGGGAGAGTGGTGAGAATTGTGAGCAGAAATGCAGGCATAGGTAGAATGATAATTTATGTCAGGGTTTTGTTACATAACAATATAAAATGTAAGGCCCAAAGATCTTCCCTCAGATATGTGCATTCAGCTTCTATTGATATTAACTTGTGTTATAGGTTTGTTGTAACTCAGAGGAAAAAGCAAAGGCTTGAACTGAGGGGGAATCAGGCTAACACAGTTCTCCTTGTTAAAACAAATGGATTTATCACAGTGCATATTTCTGGTACTTTGAGACTAACTGTACCAAAATGTAAAAATAAATAAATAGCCATGTTAACAAGCTGTTTTTCATAGCTGTCATTACGTTTTAATGTTTATGCTGGCACGATGTTACATGACAGGACTGTGTAGGTCATGATATGCCACCAAAATATAATGTGTATCGATGCCCCCCTCCAACAGGGCCAAATGTATACTTGACAATATTTTCAATTATTATTATATTGTTATAGATATATTATATCTATAGATTTGTTTGTGGTAGCACCTTTAAGCCCCAGTTAATTATTAAATTCCTTGTAGAAAATTGAATTTAAAGTGAGAAGGAGAAACGTGTGGAAGCCTTGTGGAGCAGGGGACACAATGGAGTTATGACAAAGTAAGAGCTGGGAAATAGCTTCTGTCAGACTCATTAATTCTCATAGTTTTTTATTGAGGCAGTGATGACACCCTCATACAGTATCAGCTGTATACCACTGGAAAATTACACAATAGTAGCTAAATGCATCATCTTTCTGTATCAAAGAAAATTGGTAGATTGCAATTTCTTGCTTTTTATTTCTGATCCTTCAGTGAAATAACTGTGACTACCTATGTGCATAAAGTTAAGTATGTTGAGTGCGTGCAGGAGTATTTGCAGTATAATACATGAGTATTTGCAAGGCCAGGAGCCCTAGTTACTTTTTTCAATCTCTGCATTGAATGAATCAGGAAGTTAAAAAAAAATTCAGAATTGTTCATACTAATTTCCAGGAAGTTACTGTTCACTTTGGGTACCAACAATGTTGTGAAACAAGTTCTGCATCATTTTTTGATTAAGAGAACGTTGATTGCAGGCTTTTGCCAAACAACTTGTGGTTCTTGTCTCCTTATTCCTCCACTTCCTTCCTCACTTTATTGTAAGGCAGGACTCATCAGTTTCATTCTATGGAAAGTCAGTGTGTAGATTCATCATAGCTTTTTGCCACGAGTGTTGTTCTTCCTCTGCTGGAGAAAAAGAAAAATAGTTACTCTTGTGTAGTGTTGCTTTAGGAGCATAAGGATATATGTTATGATTTATTAAGGAATTTCACTAACAGAAAAGAATCTCAGTACTCCTAAATAAGTTGTGGTGCTCATAGAAGCATCATTAAAACCAGACAACTTTTCAATAAATTTATCAAGGAAAGCACTCTGCAGTTCCCATTTTAAGGTAGGTGAGACCAGAATAAATATTGAGTAAATATATTTCCAGGGCATTTTAATAAGGATAAAAATCAGTGCAGACCAATGATTATTACCAATATATTGTATATGATTTTATTGATTTTTGACATATAGTATATATTGACAATTAAATCTTGAAAAACACAGAGGCTTGTCCTCTGCTTTGTAGTGGAAATGTAAAAATAAATAAATAAATAAATAAATAAATAACCCCCCCCCCACACACACACACAAAAACAAAAACAAAACCACTCTTTTGACTTGAGCTGAAGGGGATAAGGGAAGCTCAGTAACTGGAGATCTATTTTACTCTTGATGGATGGTGGAGTTTTGTACTGACAAGGAAGCTGGTCTTAGAGTGTCAGTTTTACAAACTCTGTAGAAGCCTGTGCATGGACCAGAAACGTACAAACATATAGCATAAACATATAAAGTAATATAAAGATTTAGCTACAATGAATGTGTACTGGAAATGAATAAGTCTATGATACATGTCCTGCTGTTAAGTGTAATGATGAACTATGTTCTTAAGCATAGAGATTTCTTTAACTGAATTTATTTTTCTGTAGTTATGGTTTTAAATTTTGTTTTTGCATTTATCTCACTTTGGCTGATAAAAATACAGTAGTTAATTCCACTTATTGTTTCTCATGAATTAGTACAATGCTGAAATGTCTGGGTTGCAAACACTGGATAGGAATATTTAGTTCTTTCAAAAACAGTTCACACAGAAAATTAACTGTAAACAGAAAGTCATGGAAACATTTCTTTTGGTCTCAGGTTTAATAAAAGTTTGTTCTATATCTAAATTTGGGGCCAGATTTGACCTGAGTGTCTCTTTAAATGTGCACTTTATGGTTTCTAGGAATGGTACTTGCTCTTTAAGAAATGAATGAATTCAGTAGGTGCAAGAGGTGCATTAGTCCTGCTCCTGCCCTCAGTGGGACATAACAAGGTAGTTCTGATTTGGGAGGACATACTCATGCTCCAGAAGATGGTTGCACCTATGATTGAGCATGGTGAAGTATGATGGTTAACAGTGCATTAGCACTAATGAGAATGTGCTTGTTTTGCTTTTCTAATTCATACTTTTATTTTTAATATGTTAATCAGATAATATATAGGCATGAGTACAGAATTCAAACAGTGTCAATGGCCAGCCAGTTTGGCCGTATAATCAAAGGGCTACCCCACCATAACCACTCTCTGATATAGGACAGTCCCCTTCAGATTAAACAAAGTGTATTATGCACCATGTTCACTAGGGCAATAGGCATTTTATAGCCAGACTGTTGGACTGTGCCCACCTCCTGAAGTTTATCAGAGAGCACAGTCTTTACAGCTGACCATAATTGCCATGACAGAGGATAGATGATGAAGTGGTTTGGATATAGCTGGTTCCTGGGCCATTTAGAGTTGTGCAGATACACACTGTATGTTTGTTTGTTTTTTGAAGCATTAAGTGAACATTTTTGCTTATTTCATTTTTGTATATTTTGACTGCACAGCTTTTTGAAGCACATTGGCACAACAGTGGAGGGCAGAGAGTTATCACAGTGCTCGTCCATATTATGTTGTGTTTTCACCTGTATTATTTTTCTCCTCCTTTTCCTGACACCAGGTGTCAAGGCTGATTCCCTAGTCTGGCACTTCGAGGGCAGAAGGTGGGGGCCCGCAAGGATTAAAAAAATTAATACTTGCCACTTCAGGCTTGTATTAAACCCCCAAGGTTACAGCTTTTCTCTGACCTTCGCTTGGTAAACACTGCCATCACCCAAGGGAAAAACTGCCTCTTGCAAATCCTGGAAAAACTCACTTGGGAAGTTTTCCCTAAGACACCTTGGCTTTTCCACCCCTCCCTCGGGGAAGCCGAGAAAGGAAACAAACAAAAGGGAAACCCAGCTGTTGCCACCAGCTACTTCTCTATCTCGATATAACGCTGTCCTCAGGAGCCAAAAAATCTTACTGTGTTATACGTGAAACCGGGTTATATTGAACTTGCTTTGATCCACCGGAGTGCGCAGTCCTGCCCCCCCGGAGCACTGCTTTACCGCGTTATATCCGAATTCATGTTATATCGGGTCGCATTATATCGAGGTAGCGGTGTAATTGAAAAACATATGCACAGACCTTTTAAGATACAAAACCAATCAGGTTCTTAAAAAAAGTAAATTTTATTAAAACAAACAAACAAATCTGGAACTTAGGCTTTTGCTAGATTTTGAAACAACAATTCCAAAAATTAAGCACCCAAAATAGCTTTTTGGGGGTTCAGCTTAAAGGTTACAAGCAAACAAAAGCATCTGGGGTTAGCACAGAGGAGTCCACAAGCCTACCAGAAAATAAAAGAAATAAACCTAATCACATCTATCTAAACATTCCCTGTCCCAATGAATCCGTCTAGGTATGGATGATGAATTTTCATACCTGGTCCAAACTTTACATAGCTTTCCAGCAGCTCGGCTCTTCCGCCTAGAGAGAACAACAGAGAGA